AAATATCTAGCGAACAAAAAGAGGCTTATTATGTCGTTTTTATATTATTTTTAAATTATTTAAAACATTAACATGGAATATTTTTGATGCATGTATTTTATTTTACAAGAATTTACATTGTAAAGATTTGCAATTTAGGATTTTTGTATGCATTCAAGTTTTTCAAAAACTACTGGACCGATTTCAAATTCTTGCACCATTAAAAAGCTATATTATCACTGAGTAACATAGGCTTTTTTACGATTTATTTTAATCTCACGCGGGCGGAGTCGCGTGCAACAGCTAGTATTTTATATAACTGTATTCATTCCAATGTTAATAAATATAAACACAATATACAATAAGATAATTCATATCTATCAATTATAGCATTACTAAAGCTGTATTATCGAAAGCCGTCCTACCATATCTAAAACGCAATAACCCAAATATCATCGGATATAGGCTGACTGTGATTATACCGTCTCTGTGGGCCATTCAAGCTAACTGTACCCAGATGATTGATGAATGGTATGACAGTCGAAACAATGAGGACCCCAACATCAATACGACCTAGAACTAGGCGAGCTTGTCACAATATTCTCATTATAGTTTAAGTTTACGAGAAATTACTAACGTCATCAAATAAATACTTTCGTTTTGGTAATTTTGTCTTATGTTATTAATAGTATAAAAAATATCTAAAAATGGAAATATAAATAAGTATAAAGGCAATTTGATAGAAAAGCGTCCAAACATTTGGTACATTGATTTTCTAAATATCTGTTCATCAACTTGCCCTTGTCCTTACGGAGAGTCGGCACAGTATGTGCTCCTCTTCAATACAGCTACCAGCCGTCATATCTGAATCGACTCCCTCCTTTTTATTATTTTAAATATCTACAGACTCTTGGTCCGTACTCTTTTTTGCACAGTTTATGTATTTATTTTTGTTGCTTAATACTTGTGCTACATTACTGAGTTTCTTTTTTTATATACGTATTTTTTTCTTTTTTACATTATTTTATTAATATATTTGGCATCCCTTTTTATGTATAATATTTTTAGATATACAAAATACAATACTAAACAATGTTTTACCACTTCTATCTTAAGCATAACCTCTTTCCGACTAGCAATACTTTCTTCTGTCTAAATATCTGCATTATATAGTAAAAATAATTAATACAATATTTGTGTAGTTATATTTGTTATGTTCGCAATAGATATTGTGTACGCAGTTATTTACAATAACATTTTGATAGAACGATCAAATGCGTGTGTTGTATGAAATAGTAACTCCATCGCGGGCGGCTTATGACGCGTGTTATTTCCCTGATACTCTCATAAAACCTAGAAATCTTATCTTGTTCAATAACGTTTGGATAAAATACGCCCCGAACGGAGTTCCTATAACGTATCAGAATGCAGTTATTTCTTTCTCTAACATTATTTTAGTTTTATCATAATTTGTTTCCACGATAATGCGGGACACGTTCAAATAAAACTTTTATTTAACGCGAGCTATCGTAAATTTGACGATATCTTAATCGGAATTTCGGCTCTGATCATTCAGTTTTAAAACTTTGAAATAGTTTTATTTCATTACAAAATAAATATTAAATCATTCTAAATCGTGCATTTATATATCGATACTAGCTTTTGTCCGCGACTCCGTCCGCCAGGATTTAAAATAAAAAAATGAGTAGCTTCCGTGTTCTTCCAGACTATTATCTACATTTATGTCACATTTTATCGAGATCGGTTCAGCCGTTTAGGCTACTAACTCTAATCATCCATCCATCCATCCATCCATCTAAACTTTAGCATTTATAATATTAGTATGAGTATGATTATAAAGGTTTTGCGTTTTTAAAATGACGCTTTCTTAATCTTTCTCTATTTAACTAGAAAACAATCTAAATACAATTTAAAAATCAAAGGTCCATATATAATTCATACTAAAAAACGTATGAAGCAGCTTAGTATAGCTGAAACTATAAATACAATAGACGCTAAAGACGTTGATTGATCTTAGCGGGACCTTATCTTCGTAATTTTACCATATTTTTTACGTCGTCAGGTCGAAACTAGGATTGGGATTCTCTGGAGCGGAAACCAACTATGCGAGAAATGATATCTATCAGAATCTCCAGATTTTATGTCGGCAATATATTACGAGGAATGCTGACATGTGGAACTATTTGAAAGATAACAAAGCAACATTTCTTTAATATTAGTTTAATTATACGATAATGATCTATGTTAATTTTTTAAAGTATCATGTGACAAGACTGTAGATAAAGCTTTGTAATGAAGTAAACATGAATTAAGAAGTGTTTAAAAATTGCATAGAATTATAAAACAAGGAATTAATATAATCCGTCATCGTTTTGCATCATTCCTTTATTACTTGAAGTTTCAAATTTGATACCGGATTTATAAATCGTATTGGGCAACAATATTTAATTCCATTTTAAAATTAGGCTGTGTACATACTACCTTTGACTGATAATCTTCAAGTTAGAAAACAAAAAGGAGGCTATCACGAAAATGTTGCTATCTTTGAAAATATGGATTTCTCGCCAACTATCTTTTTTATTGTTTTTTACTATTACATATTTCCCCATTAGGAAACACAGTAAAGGGTATACTTATACATTTTTAATTTAAAAATTAGACTTTTAAGGGATAATTTGCCTAACGTAACACAAAAAGCAATATATTACAGAACTATACGTAGTTCAAATCAACTGCCTTTACAAACAAAACCAATCTGGTTGAATAAGGCAAATAGCGTTAAACAACGCAACAACAAGAGCCCGCGGCTAAATGATATCTCGTTTAAGTCAAAACGTTTGTGTACATCAAAACCTTTCAGGCTATCAAAGAAGCGTCTGATACAAAGCTTTAGGTGGGCATTAAACACACAATTTGCTACGTGTTGAAAGAAGGTAGGTGCCTTGAGGCAACATTGTCTGTCTTCTGCACTCTACACCTCTTATTACCATTTTATCTGCTCTCCTTTAGTGCAATAGTAATCAAAAAGATGTACAATTATCACGTCCAATGTGATGCTTGGACATTTTATTTTCTTTTTAGATATATCAAGTGGTAAGATTGTTTTAAATTTAATACAACACGTTACAGACGTAGTCTACACTAGATTTATGTAGCTAATAGATATTCATCTAAATATCTTTTGAGGCTGCAGACTTTAAAAGTAAGCAATTAAAACATTCATAACAGTCCCGTATAAAGTCCTAATCACCTAAACTATTTACCAAAAAAATATTTAAAATAGAAACATGTTAAGCCACTTATGTTATTGCTATGAATACGTAACTGGATAAGTCTTGATTACGAGTAACTAATTTATCATTTGGCCCGATGCCAAAAGTTTCGTCGCAGAGCTGGGCAGCTCGCCAGGTATGGTCGACTTTTGATGTCAGCACTTCTAGAATATTAACAGATTAAATTAAAAAAGCTACGTACTCATCGTCTTCAAATACTTATGGTTATTGGTAAGTTCACTTAAATAGTGCCCAAAAACCAAACTCAGAAAAACGTTTTAAAAAATTAAATGATAAATCATATTCAATTAATATTATAAATGCGAAAGTTTAGATGGATGGATGGATGTTTGTTAGTTTTTGTAGCCCAACCGGCTGATCGGATCTCGATGAAATTTGGCATAGAGGATAGCCTGGAAGAACACATAGACTACTCACTTTTGGTTTTTTAATTACACGCGGACGCAGTCGCGGGCAATAGCTGGTATAACAATAAATGAGGCATGTTATGAGAAGGGACGAATCGCACGTAACAAGGAGAACGTCAGTTATGAGTGTGGAGAGACACCGGTAGAGGTAGACCTAGGAAGAAATTGATGGATTATGTGAAAGGAGATATGATCAAGAAGGGAGTGATAACCGAGATGATGTATTACAGAGATACGTAGAGGTCAAAAACCTGTTGCGCCGACCTTACGAGAGTAGGATAATGAGAAAGAAGATGATGAGATATAATAATAAACTGCAAAAATAGTTTTACATTATCATTAGGTACAGTATATTTTAACCTTTTAGTCAAAAATATTTCCTCGAGATGTTCTTAGCTAAGAATTTGTGCAATGAATTCTAAAATGCAGTATTACTATTTGTATTGGGTATTCCAGATCAGCGAGTCGATCCGTTCGCTCACAAGGCGTTTCCCCCAATGAAATCCTTCAAAGGGACATATTCTTCGACCGTGTAATTTAATTAGGTTCCAGTTAGCTACGTTGGTCTTTGCCGCTTAAAGCCTATCTATATCTAGATATTATCTATCTTTGAGAGAAGATTAAAATAGATGTTACGTATTTAGGTTCCATTTTTGTAAATCATAATTTCCAACTCATGGTGAAAATCGCAAAATGGTTGAAACTTTTTTACAAATTAGGTAGACCTTTGTTTCCCTATTCGATGAATACAACTTCAGTATTGTCAAATATTCTTACCTCTTACTAATATTATAAATGGGAAAGATGAATGTTAGACTTTGCCGCCTAAACGGCAGAACGGATCTCGATAAAATTTGGCATAGATGTAGAGAATAGTCTGGAAGATCACATCGGCTACTTATTTGTTTTTTTTTCTTGGCTGACGGAAGCTAGTTTGTTTGTTTTTTACCCTGTATTCGAAATTTAAAAAAAATGATATTTTTAATTTTACATTTATTTACAAAAGCTTTATAGAGTGTTTGAATGTTAAGATTGTAATCTACAGGTTTGAGATCAATGTAGAGATATACTATCTCTAGACCGTAATCGTTTCTGAGCCGAGTAATAACAATAACAATAAGTTTCCGTTTTTTTCGTAGTCTTATCTAAAAGACATTGTTCCGCTAGAAGTTTTCTCTATGACAGTCTTTCTTAGACTTCAACGTGATTTGAAAAATCGCTTGCTGCCTACAAATTTGACTTAACATTTTAGACGAAATTATAAATTCAAATTAGAATATTTTAATAAAAAAATCTCTAATTTCATTCAAAATTAGACTATTTAATCTCATCGTATAAAGACAGAATATTATCAGTGTTACATAAATCACTATCACATAATGACCACCAGTAGTTGTAAAGAGGGCTCTTAAGACAACCACGCCACACGTAACCTTTGTTCTTGAGAGCCTTTACGCCACAGATTTCATCATCAGCACATTGTACTTTGGATAATATGCTACTGAAACAAATCATAAATTGTTCTTTGGCCAGCATTTCATTAATTTCGACTCAGGGACTTCTAAACGCATACTCTTAAAATCGATGGTACTTCTGTAGTGATAGATATACATGAATTATCAATAAACTCTAAGCAATTTGTTGCTTTTATGATCCTTTCTCCTGTACACTCTCTTCTCATATAAAGCCATAGCAATAGTACTACAAATTGTATTTTTTATATAAAAAACATTAAGTGCCTTACAATTTAGTATCCTTATAAGAATTATTTCTATTGAAATAAGTATTGATTTATACTTACATATTACCTTCTAAACAGTTAGCTTGTTCCAAAGATACAGAAGATGACGTAGAATTAACTTCACAACTTAAGCACGACATATTTTTAAAAATAGACGAGCGAAAATTCCTTGTTCTTGATAAATCTACGATATTATCAAGCCAATCCTTCCTCTTAGAAAATTTGTAAGGCATATCTGAAATTGGAATGTAATTGCAAAGGTTGCAGGAACACACGTATGTTGATACATTTTGATAAACGTTGAAACATCCTCGATCTACTAAGCCAAAAGGAGTTTGTTGTGTATAACATAAATCGTCTTCATTTTCACAACGCATGTTTGGAAGCCTGTTGACAGAAAAATAATGTTCGTCAAAAGGCATATTGGTTTTGATACACAGTTTTAATTAAAAATTAGTTCAGTTCTGATACATATTTATGTAAAATTTATTATCAGGTATGAAGTGAAGTTTAAAAATTTAAATAACTACATATTTATTCTTCCGATTAATCTAAACACAAGAAAAAGTATTAGATAATGATATACTAACATTTTATTTTTAGGTTCATTGCATTCGTGCATTTGAATATTATTACATACTATGCAAGATCGTTTTAAGGATCCCATTTCTTTTGCAGAAACTGGCACGTTATAAACGGAAACATCATCGAGCATGTGGTCATGTTTTCTCGTAAGCGTAATTGGTTCTTTTTTACCTTTCTCTATAAATTGTACATTGGTTATGTTTAATAAGTCACTTTTGATTGATTCAACATTTATTGTGTACTGAATACCAGTGGTTCTTGTGGGTAATTTGTACGACGGCGTTGTTGTATTTTCCAAATCGAATGTAGAAGGACTAGAGACAGACATAGGGATGTTCGTTGTAGTCGTGGATGAAACAGTACCAAATAGGTTTGTACGAGATGGTGACCACACAGTAGTGTAATCAGTTATCGTGTTAGTTATATTTCTTAACAGATTTTCAGATGGTTTTGCGGCGAATAACGTTTTTTGGGAAAACGGTAGAGATGACGTCACTTCAGGTAACGTTTCTTCTTTATTAAATGTTTCTTCATCTGTAGATGACACCTCTTCAGTAAATGCATTTGCTATGGGATAGAGGCTCTCTTTAGGGCAAGATTTTTCTTCGATTATTTTGTCTTTTACTATTGTTCTTTCTTCGAGTGTTGGTCTCTCTTCGAGAAATGTATTCTCGTCAGAAAATGTTCGATCTGCTGGTAGTGTTCGTCTATCTTTGAGCGATGTTGTTTCTTGTTGAAATGTCGTGCTTTCAGTTCTTGAAGCTCTAGTTACAACGTCAGTGTTTTCTTCAGTCTCACCAAATATTTCTTTAGCATTTTTAACAAGGAAAGCAACTAAATTTACATTTGCGTCATCCTCGCTTTTCTCTGTTGTAAATTCTTCAGGGATTTCTTCAACTTGTCGGCGAAAATTAGGCAATAGGTTTTTAACTTTCGGCGTCTGCTTTTCAATGCATTTTGCGATATTGATTATAAAAAGCAAATTTATCACAATTCTTCTCATTGTTTTAGAAAATTGTTACATTGTGACAGTAGACGTAATATCAAAAAATGTCATTTTCAGAAATATAATTCTAAGCCAATGACAAGTAAAGTTTCACGATAGTAAATACTGCTTTCAGGATTATTAAAATCTTAAATACCGTAAGGTTTATTGCGACACCCGTACTCTTACTATGGGAACGGTTATGGGACATTTCATTCAGCAATAATTTTTCTGAACGTATTTTAGGGATGTTAAATGGTTTAGAGTTACACAGTGAATTGTTACACAAGTAAAACATGGAATTATAAGCTGGTGTGTTTGTACATCCTCTTGTAACAAAGTCAGTTTCTTCGTCATGGTTGACATAGCACACCTGATTGCGTCCACAAACCACGTAATCATCTCTAGAAAAATAAGACTACAGTGAATATCATAGATAAGCCAACATATTATTTGACTAGCATTCCCCGCCATTCTGTCAGCGTAGATTTAGAGTAGTCTATGTTTTGTTTCAGACTATGCTCTACATCAATGCCAATTTTCATCGAGATTTGTCCAGCAACATGCGACAAAATCTAGCAGACTTACACCCATCCATCTTAACTTACGCATTTCTGATATTAGTTAGATTGCAGAGTAGCATCGCTTGATATTATTAATTACATATAATTACAAGATAACAGTTCTTCTTTAGAAAACTATACTTTACATAATAACTGCATGTAAAAAGCTGCAACGTGTAGTAACATCCTAGATTTTAAACCTATATTCTAGGATTAATTTATAAATGAACTTTAAACTAATACTGTGTAAAAATAAGATAAAAAACAGATGTAATAAAAAAAACCTTCGCGCTTACTGATTATTTTGGGATTATTCCCAATCGTCACCCCGCTCTGTCCCCACATGGAGACAGATAAGAATGAAGAGTTTCATCCGTCACACCTTTTGCTCGAGGGAACGGTTGAAATTTATTTTATTTCATAACGGTTTCATCTGTCACCTTATTGGTGATAGGAACTAAAAGGTGGTACGGATGAAACATTTTACTCTCATCTGTCTCCACGTGGGGACAGAGTGTGGTGATAGTTGGGAATAATCATTATTTTGTATTGCAAACATTTACAAAATTACTTACATAGTGCCAAACCTGCATTTATCATCAATAAGGGCATTACGGCCTCTTGTTTCACAAGTTTTACATGTCAATTGGATTCCCGCTATTGGTATTTGAATTCTCTTGTTATGGTAGTCCCAATCAGATATTCTTTTATATTCATAATACACTGATTGGTACACAGTTTTATCATTACAAAGCGGGCAGTTGCATACGAACGTTTTATTCATTTTATTCGGTTTAAAACACCCTCGTCTTATATACTGTGGATGTAGCTCTGTGTAGCATATTTCATTTGACGAACATCTTAATTTTGCTGGTCTTAAGAAAAAAATAATAATGATTTAAACACAAGAAAAGCGTAAAAACACAAGTAAGAAAAATAATAAAGAGCTTCAAAAACATATAGAGGTGGCATAGTTGACATTTCTCTTGAAACATTTTACATAAAACCTTCATTTAATTAAATAAAGTTTAAATGTTTATGTTTAATTTTGTAACACAGTTTAGTTTATTTTTAAACAATAAATGGAGTTCCATATGTCTACTCTATATATTTGTTTAATGTTTTTGTAGTCAATAAATAGAATCTTACCCTAGGACTTATAGGTTATAACCAAATATTGTTTGATACTTACGTTTTACCGCTATAACAACTTTCATCTGACATAAAACCTCTGTCCGTAAAACACCACAAGCATTGTATTACATCAGCATATTTGATTTGATCTCCTTTTAATGTAGTATCCGAAGAGAATGTATTAAAAATAGACCGGTGACCAGGTTTGGTAGTAAATTCTGTGGCATGGTCATAAAGCAAAGGGTCTGATGGAAACAGATTATCAAATTTCACATTGCTAATTTCATCGTAAACAGGAGCAAATGTCCTGGGCAAAGGTGGACTGTGTACTGTATTTGTTCGATCTTTCTGAGGTTTTGTTAATAAAACCCATTCCTCTTCTGGTCCTTTTGGGTTACATTTAACATAGTAAAATTGTAAAAGTAAAAAAAGAATATTTGTTATATTAAACGTGTAAAATAAACTTATCATTTTGTTGTTTACACTAGTACGTCATGTTGACATTGGAAATTTATTCTTTTTTAAGTCTGAAAGACATGTAAAAGAATAAGTATTTGCAACATTTTTTATTAATATATTAAAACTAGCTGTTGTCCGCAACTTCGTCCGCGTGAACAAAAAGCTACGTATCCCTCGGGAACCGGACATTTCTCGGGGATGAACCTTATCCCATGTATATTCCAGACTTTGTTTTATATCTGTGCCAAACTTAAATAAGATCTGTTGAACCGTTGCAGACTGATCGAGTAAACATTAAAAAACTAAATTAATGAATCCCAGGGGAACCGTAACTAATCCCGGGATAAAAAGTAATGTGTTCTACCAGATAATGCTCTAAACCTGTGCCAAATTTCATGGAGTTTCGTTCAGCTGTTTAGGCTACAAACGCTAACAAACATCCATCCATCCATCGTTACTTTGGTATTTATAATATTTATATGATGTTAAAGTGCAACCCACTTAAAAAATAACATGTAATGGTTTTTATACATTTTTATCAAATTACAAAATAATATTCCTTGAATTCGTACAAGACCTGTAGAATTCATAAAACGTTGAGGATCGCTGTTTAAGTTATTTCAGTTTAAAACATTTGGTGTGTCAATTGAATTTCATTTAAGTCTTGTCAAAACGACTTACAATCAAATTCTAGTATTTCCAATTTAACTCTAAACAAGATAATTAAATGCATTGTTGCTTAACATTCGATCTTAAAATAAAAGTCCTCTACCAACTCCTTTGTTAATTACAAATTCTATTCTGTTTTCAACAATTAAGTTTGAGCTAATTTTGTAAAGTCGAGTTATTTGTTCTCCTTGAACGATTTATTGTTTTTCCAAGGCAAGAATCGAGAACGGAGAAAGTTTACAAGTATTCTCTTTTAGATGTGGAGTAATCCACTTAATTTTAAAACTTGTACAATCTTGGAATACTTTAGCAAGCATGCTCATAATCGTTTATTGTATAGCGGACATGAAAGCTATTATGTGTTTCATTGTGTTATAATAATTTACTTTAATACATGAAAATTTAAATAAAATCTTGAATTCCTTACAATATCTGAAGAAGGTTATGTAAAATTTGGTACGTTTTAAGGACCATCTATATGTCACCTTACTAGGCTTTCCATCTATAAAATATACTAATGATCTGATTTAGTCACTTAGCGATAATTCTTGACTCAATAGAAGAAGCAGTTAATTCCTCTTGCTGAAAAAAATATTACAAAGCAATTTAAAATTTCCTTGTCATTTAAAAGTCGTGAGTACGAGTGGTTTTCAAACCAGATATAAAAAAACATAGTTATCTAAGCTCAGAAAAATATGTCATTAGTCCAATTATTCCGTAACGGGTGGAAATTTTATGCAACCTTTGGCATTGCTGCCCACATTGCTAATATTCCAGAGCATACTCCACTTAAGGGTAAGTCCCCAATTGGAATTTAATGTCGTATAAAATCAGCCCGGCTTACTTACGCGACCGTCCATCCTTCTTGGCCCCCGACTAACTCGTGCATACTTTTGCTGCGGCATTTTGAATTTTAATATAGTTTGAATTTCAAATTTCATATTTTCAATGTTGATTTGCCGCAATTCGTTAGAGACTTTTAAATTTCAATATTTACTGGCTTCAAAAAGTGTGATTTATACATATTTTTGTTTATAACTTTTTAGTCAGCAACATTAACAGTGTTAATTTCAGCTTAAATAACGAAGTAATAATTTTATTTCAAATTTAAAACTGTTACACGATGTCACATTCTAATTTAAGAATATTAGCTTTTTCTTTGTATCTCCGTAATAATATTATTCTAGCATTATAAATATCGTGGAATGGAATGAACTGTCTAAATACTGAAATAACAAAGTTCATCAGACTTATTCCTAGAAATGTTCCCATAAAAAACCTTATAAAAAGATAATTGTGAATATCCCAGAATCTTATAAATACTGAATTTGTACTCCTAAGTCCACCCTGTTTTCTCCGGAGGCTAAAAAATGTAAATCCTCTTTCAAGCTCGAGCTTTTTGAAATTAAGCCTTTTGTAATGAAATGCTTAGTTAGTTGTGTTTTTGTTTTCATACTCTATCCCTGGTTAGTAGCATTTCGTGAAAATAAACCTCCCCCTTTATTTCGTATACGGTGAAAATGTACATAACGTAATGATATTCTTGATCCTAGATGACTTTTGTCGTGATATCTTGGATTAGTATTTGTATTAAGAACATCAAATTATGATTAAATTCCTCTCGTGCATGGTTTTATATCCTTTTGTTTTTTTTAGTGATTTTTCAGTGTTGATTTTGGCTTGTTAGGGACTATATAGTCAATTGAATTAAGGGAAATTCCTTTAGCACTGATGATCTTTTTTTTTAATATCATTATGAAAGTGTTATAATTTAGCTAATCGTGCTTACTTAGTCCAGTTTAAACGTATTTCGCAATATTTTACATATAATTTCAGTTCTATTTACAAATATTTTCCAGATAATTTTGTAGTGTATGTTGTTGTGTTAATGTAAATTCTGCACGTCTTAAATGTTTCAAATTTCTAGACTAGTCATTTTAACGAAATTTGCTAACAAAATTATGTTAATTGTATGGCTTTGTTTTAAGGCCGGCAGGCGTTGAGCACGTGTTGAATAATTAAATTCGAGGCAAATATCTTGTAACCTCTGAAGAAGCTGAAAGTTCAAGTTAATTACAAAACAGTAACTTCATTCTTAAAATTCGTGTTATTTTGAATTTCACTAAGAAAAGGTAATGTAATTAATCAAAGAAATAATTTAGTTATAATGTTACTAAATATTTTTACATATTCAATGCGTATTTTTATAGGTTTCGGTAATAATTTGTAGTTTGTAAACATCAATTATAAACGTTAAAAATACGAGAGTATTTACATATCTGTCCAAGTCTTCGTTTAACTATATACTAGCTGTTGCTCGCGACTTCATCTGCATAATTTTAAAAATTATAGCCTATATTGCTCACTGATAACATAGCTTTTTAATGATGAAAGAATTATTGAAATCGGCCCAATAGTTTTTGAGTTTAATAGATACAAAAATACAAATATTTTCTCTTTATAATATTAGTATAGAGCAACGTGTAAATACATACAAATGTATTGATTAATTGAATCAAAGGGAATATTATCAATAATCACAAGGAGCTGTTAGAATCTCATCCTCTAATTATACCAAATGTATTTGAATCAGCAATTAATTTGATTCGGAATACGCTAATAGAGTTCGGCTGGATAGTTCGACACAGATGGAAATTCAATGGCGAAATGTTAATAATTGTCATAATCCTACTGGCTTACTAATCCCCGCTTACATTAAGGAAACTATGAATAGATTACCATTCAGAATATTCTCCGCTTATTCCTAATAAATGGTAAAGATGTTTTAAGCACATTTACTGATAAATGGTATCTCACCAGCATTATCAAACATAACTGTAAAGTTTTCTAATGGAAAAAATACATTTAACAAACAAGAAGCAATATCCGATTACTGAAACGACATTTAAATATGTTTCAGCATCTTACATTGAATTGTAAGTGTAAGTAAGATTAATTTCAGTATTCTACTACAGTCATTAAGTAGCCTGGTGTGTACACTCACAATTAAAAAATATAAAAATAGTATTTGATGTGATTTTTCTTGAAAAAATGTTTTTATAAGGGCTTATCAATGACTTCTCTGCCTAAATAACTCTCTGTATAATTTAATTACACAGAATTCGATCATGAGTCATGTTACGTCACCAAATTCCAGAGTCAGTGAGTTTGAATGAAGTCCGGCTCGACTTGAGCTCGCCCTGACCGCCACTGTGGCTCTGCATCTCCGCACCTATAAGATTACACTTGCGTGCGACTTCCATAGATTTTACATTGCACAACAAAATAATATTGAATATTATTGCATTAAATATTAAAACAAAAATACTGGATGATTACGTTAATAACAGCACAGATATCACAGCAAAAATTTAATGCGAGATGCCTTAAATTTTTTGATGAAAACTAAAAATAACTTTCAAGTATTTATTTTACTTTTCTATTAGAAATATTGCTAGGCTTATGTTAAAAAGTAATTAAATAAACAAATGATCCATCGGTATTTTAAATAGAATATCAGGGCGATGTTGCTATTTTAAAAAAGAATAACCAATGTAGTTACTTAATAAGGTGTCTATTTAAAAACGTATATACCTTATCCATAATTTCTTAATCTCTCATGAAACCTCTCACCGTTCGCTGCCATGTAACCCTACACCGTGCGGACAGTCCGCAGACCATTCCTTTCCAGTCTGTTCCACTCGCTTCCCATCTATAACAATACACGCACACAGCTTTCATTGTGTACTACATTTCTTGAGACTTGTAAACGCTTCAATAACTTAACTTTATGAGCGCCGTCAGAGGGACTAGAGACTCGAAAATTCTGATATCTCACTAAATGTTAAGTTTGGATGTATGTGCTGGAGTTTGGATACCTATGTCGATAAACATTCTCTTTGGAATAAAAAAAGAATATTTTCTACTACCCCCCTTGGTTATTGGTTGCCTCCTCAGGCCATGAGCTGGCGACATGATTGTTTTCGACAAATTTTAAATATCTAAACGTTTCAGATTATATTCCTCATGTATATGGTAATATATACCTAATTCATTATTGCATTAAGTAAAAAAGCTGTTTTGCTAAATCAACATAATTATTCCTTGGACTGGACTAGAGCTTCGTTACGGAGAACATTTAGCTTGTTTTTCCCTCGCAAAATAAACCGCATGCACTTCGGTAAATGGACTAATGAGAACCTTTAATGATTTCCCGTCTACCCACATTGAAAACTTCCATTCTTCTTTTAATTGAAATACCTTACCGCATGATGTTATAAATGAATTTTAGATTTGAACCATTAAAAAGTCATATTTTATTGTGTTTTAACTGAAGAGTCAAACTGTTCAGTTGAAACTGTTTATGTGTA